AAGCCTCAGAGCCCCAGAAAGAGGCTGTCAGCCCCAGAAAGACGCTGGCGGGTGTTGCAGGACCAGGGAAGTAGTGGGAGGTGAGGGCGGGGCCAAGACCAGAAGCTGTGCTCCTGGTGCCCAAGAAAGGCACTGAGTTGGTCTGTGTGAGAAGGGTCAGGAAGCAGTATTGGTTCCCCAGGTGTCTGGAGCCCCAAGACTAGGAATGGCACAGGGCCCAAGCTTGTAGTAGAGAACAGCGGGGGAGATGGAAGGGTGGCGCGGAGGGCTGCACGGTAGACTTACCCCCAGAGAGGCCTGAGGGCGGGAGAGCGGGCCAGGAGAGTTCTAAGCCAAAATTTATTGAATGATTTTTTTTAATGACATTCAAAATTAACAACTGGAGCAACAATTTAAAAAAATTAAACATTCTAATACAATACATTTGATGCATGCTCAGGAATGGTAGTAGGAAAATATTAAAAGTCTTTTTTTCCATAATTAAACCATTATGTAAGAGCAGAAAACTTTGTATGTGCAGTAAAAAACACTGCAGTTTGTAGCTTACAGTAGTCTTAAATCTGAGTCGAAGTGTTTCAAGGAGCATTTCTTGGTGTTGCATGGTGTGACAGCATGTGTGGGTATAGTGCAAGACTTCAGTGAGATTATGGGCTTGAGCATTCAGAAACCTTTAAAAGCATTTTAATTGCATTTATTTATTGGACTGTGTGCACAGGTGTATCACGTTGCACATGAGATCAGAGGACAGCGTGCAGGAATTAGTCTCTCCTTCTACCGTTTGGGTTTCAGGGAATCAAACTCAGGTCATCAGGCTTGGCAGCAAGTGCCTTTACCTTCTGAACCATCCCACAGGCCCCAGAAACCTTTTAATGGCTACGTTTTCATGACCTACACATTTAGATGCAACCCACAGTTTAAGAAGCTGATGTTTAGATTCAGATAAAGACAGACCTAGAACCTGGAAGAATTGGGTGTTTCCCTGTCTAGTAGTTGTGGCTGGGCCAGTAGGCACCAAGTCAGGGTTGGGTTCCTCCATGGACTAAAACCCAAAGCTGAGGAGCCGGCCCTCAGTGGGGGTCTGTGTGGGCAGCAGCCCCTTTGCGCATGCATTGTCCCACATGTGCTGCTGCAAGTCTCAGTGTCATCAGGTAAGATGGGTTTCTTACAGACTGTCTTTATAGCCTTTCTGGGGCCTATCACCTCACCTCTGTCTATGATAACAGGACCTCAGTATATAGAGAGTGTTTTCTAAATAGTCTTCAGAGCTGATTAGATTCTAGACCAGGGTGGGGAGGCAGCCTAGAGGTAGAACACATGCTTAACATACCCTAAGCTGTAATTCCATCCCAGAACCACAGAAAATTTTCGAAAAATTGAAATTTGTTAGTATTTTTTCCTTATTGTTTCATATGTAAAAACTTTCCCTTACTCATATGTACTTTATTTCTGTAGGTTGGTGACACATCCTTTGATCTGCCAGAAGCCAATGTCCTCATTCAGATTTCTTCCCATGGTGGCTCCAGGCGGCAGGAAGCCCAGCGCTTGGGGAGGGTGCTCCGAGCCAAAAAAGGTCAGGCCACCTCTTCTAATGCAGGCTGGTGGGAAGTCTCTCTCACTATACAGGAAGAGTTGGGGTGCTGGTGTGCTCAGTCATAGCCAGCTTTGCCTCATGGCTGGGGACACCCTGAAGGGAGGTATCCCAAGCAGGACCTCAGAGCCCAAGGCCTTCCTGGGAGATGAAGGTGTAGGTATTTTCCACGGGAGCCTGGAATGACAGTTTTTACCAGTGTTGACCCATGGATATGGAGTTTCTGAAATGCCCTGGATCTCTAGGCAGGGGGAAGGGAGGTATTGGCAGGACAAACTTTGATGTCTATCCAGGTAATGATGAGAATAGTGGTTTCAGTGAGCTCAGGACTGGAGGCAGGAGGCCCCGTGTGGTGCTGATCTCCACTAGGGGGAGCTCCTGCAACCCTGGGCCCACACCCCAGATGGGGCATGGCAGGGACTGACACAGTTGCCCAGAAGTGTTATAGACACTGATCCTGCCTGGCCTGACCTGAGACTACTGGATTGATAGTAAATTTGAAAGTGGCAGCATTAGCATGGAATTGGGTGACAGGCCACCTGTGTGACCCTGGGCAAATAATTGTGCCTTTGTTTTCCTATCCAGAATTCGAATGACACTCCATTCTTGTGTGACTGTTGTGAGGATGAGCTTGTAGAACGTAGAACACCATGCGTGAATGCTGGGTAGACTGTAACTTTATAAACTGATAACAGATGTGAGAGTAATGGAGACACTTCCTATTCTGTGCCACACAGAAAAGAAGAAAATGTAACTTGCAATTTGATGAGAGTTGTTTTTCCTTGCTCAGAGTACTAATTTCTTAAGGTATTTGGCTCTTTGCATCTCTGAGTTCTTGTGAGAAAAACAATTTAATTCAAGGGTATTATGCAGATTCTTAACCTTCTGACATTTGAACTGTAAGGCAGAAAGGTTTACATTGTCCACAAGGAGCAGGCCTTTCAGGCTACAGTCGTTTTTTTTTTTGTTTTATGTTTTTTTAATCTGTACAAGTGTATGGCCTACATGTATATAAGTGCACCCATGTCACGCAGTGCCAGAGGAGGTCAGAGAAGTGTGCTGAATTCCCCTGGAACAAGTTACAGATGTCATTAGCTGCATACGGGTGCTGGGATTCAAACCCAGGTCCTCTGCAAGAGCTACAGTGTTTTCATCCTTTTTTCTGTAATAATTTATTCCTGTTCCATAGATTTTGTCTCTGAGCTGTTTTCTTTTTTCTTTCAAAAAACAAATTTTATTGAGCTATTAAAATAGTATATAATTGTTCCATCTAAAGCTTACAGTTTGGGTTAGTGAGCTGGCTCATCTGAGGAAGGTGCCTGCTGCCAAGACTGACAGTCTGAGCTTGATCCTCAGGAACCATGTGGGGAAGGAGAGACCTGACTCCACATGGCACTGTGGCATACGTACTTCCACATGTGCACTCGTGCATGCGTACGCACACAAAATATGTAAATAAATATAAAAAAGTATACAATTCAGTAGTTTTAGTATATCCACAAAGTGGCTGCTATTACTACAGTGCATATTTAGAATATTTTCATCAGCACCCCAAAGAAACCCTAACCGACTCCAGGCTAGGCAACCAGGCATCTGCTCTTGTCTCTATACCTATTCTGGACATCATTGGGGCCATTCAGTATGGCACCTTCTGTGATTCATTCCTTTCATTTAACATGTTTTGAGGAGGGTTTTCCTAATGTATTGGTACTTCATGCTGTTTTTATTGCCAAACCACTCCACTTTATGAACATGCCACATTTTATTTATCCATTAATCTGCTGTTGGGTTTTTGAGTTATTTCCACTTTTGTTTACTGTGCAAATTGTATACAAGTTACTGTGTGGATTTGTTTTCAGTTCTCTTGGCTGTGTATACCCAAGGCTGGCGTTACTGGAGCATGTAGTAGGCACTGTGTATTTAACATTTTGAGGGCCTGTCAGGCCGTATTCCAAAGAAGCCACTCCATTTTATATTCTAACCTGCAGTATGTGTAAGCTCTGTAGTTTCTCCACGTCTTTTTTTAAAGGTTTTATTTTTATTTCTTAATTATGTGTATGTGTGTCTGTGTGAGTGTGTGCTATGTGTATGCAGGTACCTGCAGAGACCAGAAGTTTTTGGATCCCTCGGAACCGGAATCACAGGCAACTGTGTTCCAAGTTGGGGACCAAACTTGGTTCCTCTGGAAAAACCAGAAGTACCCTTAACCTCTGATCTCTCTCCCTAGCCCCACATCTTTATAGTGGTGGTGACTCTGCTTTCTGGAGTCTACCATTCTAGTGGAAGCAAAGTGGCCACACCTCCCTGCCACACCAGGGAATCAAGCCACACCTCCCTGCAGCTCTCTCTGGGACAGAAAGCTAAGAAGCCTTTGCTGTGATTGACAGCTCTCAATTTATGGTACCTGACTCCTCCATGGTCCCTGTTATTATGCTGAACTTAATCACATGGTATGAAACTGTCCACCACCCCTAAAAGGCTACAAAAAAAAGACCTTCCCTTTGTTATGAGGTTTGGGCTGAGACTCCTCTGGATACTGCTGGGGGATTTGGTCAGGAATTACAGACTGTCCTCTAAAGTGACCCCTCTGGATTTCCTCCCCACCCCCCCATTCTCTTATTTTTGTTTTTGTTTTATTTTTGTTGTGGTTGCTGTTATTTATTTTTATTTTTTTAACTGGATCTCCCTAGAAGGCATCTGTGTAGACCAGTGTGACCTATCTTACAGAGCTCCTCCTGCCTCTGCCTCTGCCTCTGCCTCCCGAGGACTGGGATTAAAGGTGTGTACCACCATACCTGGCATCCCATTCTCACTCTTGTGAAGCTCCTCTCCATGCTTTAAAGAGGTGCCTCTCCTTCCCTTTAAGGCCCCATCATATTTACATATCCACATATTGTATTGTTTATGTTTAATGCTCTCCTTTGTGGCCTTGAGGCCCTTTCATTGTAATGAACCTCATTTCTGAAGGGAATTCATGTACGAAACTTCGAACAGACCATTATGACCATATCTTTTTAAAGATAAGGCTCAAATTTAGTTCATCTGGCCTGACAACATGTGCCTTTACCCACTAAACCATCTTGCTGGCTCTCTTTGTTTACGTTTATTTTATTTTCATGTTTGTGAGACTGAGAATCAAACCCAGGTCCTCTTTGCACATGCTAGGCAAGTTCTGTATTGCTGAGTGTCACCATAGCCCCTTTACTTTCTTGATGGCAGTCTTAGAAGCAGGGAAGGCTTTAATTTTGGCAAAGTCCCCTGCAGAGTCAGGGCGGTTGCACATTGGCTGAGGAGCTTTCCCACCACAGTACTTGCTTTTGAGCCAGGACCTTGAGCTCCTGGTGCTCTAGTGGCTAATGTGGCTTTTTTTTTTTTGCCTTTTCTTGCCTTCTCCCCACAGGAATGGTTGCAGAGGAGTACAATGCCTTCTTTTACTCCCTGGTGTCCCAGGACACACAGGAAATGGCTTATTCTACCAAGCGACAGAGATTCTTGGTAGATCAGGGTTACAGCTTTAAGGTATGTATCCATTTGCCTTTGGTTAGGCCATGACAAAGGCCATTTTGTTATTTTGGCCTCCAGGAGAAGTAGGGACACCTCAGGCAGGCACAAGTACTTGGAGATTTGAGGTTGAGACCTTGTCTCTATCAGCACTACCTACTAATGGCCCATGTGCTAGTCTAGCGGTTCTGAAGTACCAAGGCCCTGTAGTCACGCTGAGTCATAAGTCCTCTGGAGTTCCTTGTTAGGTATGCCAGTCTAAGTGGCTAAGAATTATCTTCCTTAGCTGGAAAAGGCTGAGCCTCCTTTCAGACATCAGCTGCTCCATGCCACAAACAAGTCTTGGAATAACTTGGAAAATACTAAAGCTTTGGTCAAGTTGCACTGACCAAAAAAGCATTTGCATTCTTTCCTTTTGACATGAATATTAAATTTATGTCAGGATTTTTAGTGTCCCATAATATTCTATTTGTGAGTGATGGATGGAATATTCTGGAAACAGAGAAGAAAAGTCCCAGTGTGGTCCACTAACAGGATGTCATTAGAATGTCAAGTTCCCAGGTTCTTGATTTGCAAAAGACTATACATAGGCACTATATTAGGTTCTGTAAAGGAACAGAACCGATAGAATAAATATATTAAAAGGGGACTTAGGACTGGAGAGATGCTCAGTGGTAAAGAGCACTAGCTGCTCTTGCAGAGGATCTGTTTTAGTTCCTAGCACCCACGTGACAGCTGGCAGCCATTCATAACTCCAGTTCCAGGAGCATATGACGCCCTCTTTTGGCCTCTATGGGCATTGCACTTATGTACATACAGACAAAACACTCATACACATAAAATAAAAATAAATTTAAAAGGGGAGGGTTATTAGATTGGCTTGCATGATGTGGTCTAGATAGTCCAACAATGGTGGTCTCACACCAGAGAGGCCAAGAATCTAGGAGCTGCTCAGTCGGATAACACTGGATGTCTAAGCAGTACCAATTTGGCACTGAAGGCCTAGAGGATTCCTGAAGAACTACTGGTCTTCAGTCTTTGTCGGAAGCCCAAAGAAACTGGTTCTAGTACCAGTGAATGAATGCAGCAGCAACAGAGGAGATGAACTTGCCAGAAGGAGTGAAGGCAAGCAGGCAAAAATTTCCTTCTGTCATGTCCTTTTGTCTGGGCTGCCACCAGAAGGTGCTGCCTGCATTTAAGGTGGGCTTTCCTGCTTCAAATAATCTGATCAGGAAAGTCCCTCACGGAGTGCTCAGCAGCTTGCATTTTAGTTGATTCCAGATCCAGTCAAGTTGACAACCAAGATTAGCTATCACAAGTCTGCCCCTCATGAACTTGACATTCAATCACATCTCCTTATGCCATGTTTATTTTCTAAATGAAATCAATACCAAGGTCGTAATTCTACCTCATATGTTATAACTATGCTACATACAACTGCAAGCACATATTTTTTTTAGAATAGGTAGTAAAGTCCCTTGAGGAATGCTTAGTCTCTAGGCATCTCATAGCTTAAGTATGATAATATAGATTTACAACACTTAACTACTGATATTTTCTGAATCAGTTACATTGCATGATAAATAACTAGAAGAAAGAAAACACAGATATCTGCTTAATGTATGTGTATATATGCACAAACATGCTCTTAGCTAATAGGATAGAAAGAGCCATCATTCATACTTTTCCATTTGGTCTCTTTGAGCATTGATGAGAGTTCTGTTTTTACCTTTAGTCAGAGTAGGGCTATCTGACTTCTACTCTTTTTAAAACATTATTTTATGTGTAAAAATGTATTACCTGCATGTATGTAAGTGCACTTGTGTCATGCAATACTCATGGAGGACAGAAGAGGGCATCAGATCCCCTGGAACTGGAGTTAATGGACAGTTGTTAGCCATCATGTGGGTTCTGGGAACTGAACCAGGTCCTCTGCAAGAACAGCCAGTGCTCTTAACCACTGAGCCATCCCTCCAGCCCCTGGCTTCTACAGAGGCAGTGACACCTCTCAGGCCCTTCTGACAGGGCTAGAGGATGAGTTACTTAGGTTTGGAGCCCAGTTTTCTAGAGGGTTCCCATTGTGACTTTTGCCCAGCTGCCTGAGTTTGTCAGAGTCCAGGTCCTTCAGGTGCAGGATGGGAGGCATAGCACAGAAAGGATTTTCTGAGTTTCTTGAGAGCTGAGGTCCATGGAAGACCTGTGCACATGTGGTGTCTGTATTGACCCAGCTGCCTTTGCCTAAAGCATCTGTCAAGTTTCCAGGGTCATAATCCTTGAGTGGTTGGCTAGGCAGATGGGTCCTGTTGTCTGTATTCAGGTGTCTGGTTGTCTGGGAGGACTTGGTCAGATCCTGCTCTGCAGACATGAAAATCTAGCCCCTGACATGCTGTTACCTTATGTCTTTGTTAGCTTTAACTGTCAACTTGACACAACCTGGAATTATCTGGGAAGGAGAATCTCATTTGAAGAATTACCTAGATCTGATTGGCTTATGGGCATGTTATGAGGGATTGTCTTGATTGTTAATTGATTTAGAAGGTCCACCCTACTCTGGACTGCACCATTCCCTTAGGAATGTGCAGAACTGTATAAGAAAGCTAGCTGAGCAAAGGCCTCCCAGCCAGCAAGCAGCATCCTCTGTGGTTCCTGCTAGGCTTTGGCAGTGAAGTGAATTCCTTGGTTGGAGGTAATGCTGTGTGGAACAGCAAGCAGGCCTGCCTTTAGGTTCCTGCCTTGAGTCCCTGCCTTGATGTCCCTCAGTGATGGACTATGATCTGAACTTATAAGCCATGTAAACCTGTTCTCTCCCTAAGTTGCTTTGGGGTATTTTATCACAGCAACATAAATGAAACTAGAACATCTGCAACTGAGAAAAAAATCTGATCAGTAAATTCTTGACATCCTATCATGAATAAAGTATTCCTTCCTGCTGGCATCTCAGGGTTAGGTAATCAGATGGAGTATTCTTGGCTGTGTCTTCCCATGTTTTCCTTCCTTTTCTGGTGCAAGATGGGAAATTAGGGACTTTCTGTATCTTGAAATAGCAGTTAAGCTCTCAGGAACTCTCCATCATGGCCAACTGCCTGGCTGGGCCCCCAGGAATGGGAAGAAGTGACCAGAATAAGGTCCAACAAGCAGTTGGAGTTGGGGCTGGGGAGATGAACAGAGGGACCTGCCCTTGCTCCTGCAGGTGATCACAAAGCTAGCCGGCATGGAAGAGGAAGAGCTGGCATTCTCCACAAAAGAGGAGCAGCAGCAGCTCCTGCAGAAGGTCCTGGCCGCCACTGACCTGGACGCCGAGGAGGAGGTGGTGGCTGGAGAATTTGGCTCTAGATCCAGCCATGTAAGTAAATGGGGGGAGGCTCCAGGTATCAGTGCTCCTGTAGGATGGCATACACATGCATACATGCAACACGTGCACACGCATGTGGACACACATAGGCCTACGTGTGTGTGAGCTAGTAGGATCTTGGGAAAACTGAAATTTCTGGAGAAACAACTCCATTGACCTTTTGGTATGGGTCCCTTATAAACATATTGTCAGACATAATAGGACTCGTAGCACTGTGACTGGCATCCTGCCTGTCCATATGGCAGTCTGATAATGTTGGAACCCAGGTTGACAAAGCTGATGACCCCAGCCTCAATCTTCAGGCTCTGGGGCTACCTATTGTTAGGTTTGCTGGCCTCAGGCTAGCAGGTTCACCCTGATTCCCTCCTCAGAGCTCTTAGAGCTCATCCAGCCTGGGTCTGTTGATAACTCATACTGTCATTTCAAAATTTCCCTGAAAATCCTGGAGTTCTCTGAAAAGACTCAGCCTTCCATGTGTTATTTAGTGAGTACTACCATGTTGCAGACCTATGTACATAGTATAATTAATGAACACATCATAAGGAGCATTATCCGGCTCTTCAAGGAAAGAAGTGGAACTGAATCATGAATCATGTGCTTTTGAAATTCAATGGTATTAAATCAAAAAGGTGAACGGTGGCTGGAACGAGGTATGAAGGGGCAGGAGTTGCCACCTGGGCAGGTGCCAGGGAACCTTCAGCTGAGACTGTTCTCATGCAGGGCAGTCCACACAGAAGCCCAGGAAAGCTAAGGTGATCTTTGGTGGCACCGGGTCAGTCCCCTAAGGTCAGGTTATGGAGGGCATGGTATACATCCTTTTCATCTGGGTCAGGGGCAGGTACATTGGCAGTCCCCTGGCCTGGGTAGCTGCTGTTCACGCCCATCTTTACAGCTGATGTCATCCCCATTTTATAGAGATTCCTGCCCTATCTCTTCAAAAGATTCTGTGGAGGGGCTGAGGATGTGGCTCAGTGACAAAATATCTGCCTAGCACGTGAAAGTCTGGTTCCTGATTTCTGTCCCCAGAGCCACAAAAATAATTCTGTTGAGATAAGGGAGGCATTGTGTTCTGTTATAACAGACCACCTGGGCTGAGTTCTAGTCCCATTTCCTTAGGATCTGGGAGGAGGGTCAAGTCATTTAATCTCTTGTGCCTCAGTTTCCTGTTCTGTAAGATAAGGATTACAGTGGTTATGAGCGTCAGGTGAGGTAGTATGTATATAGTGCCAGAGACACAGTAAGTAGGAAGTATTGTTTTTAATTTATTATTTATTGTTGATATATATCTCTGTGTGCATTATGTGTGTGTGGATATGCACATGGCACATCTATAAAATCTATAAAGTCAGAGGATAGCTTTGTGGGGTTGCTTCTGTCCTTGCACCTTTATGTGGCTTCCAGGGATTGAACTCAGATCACCATGCTTATGCAGCAAGTGCCTTTACCAAAGCTCTGAGCCAACTTACCAGCCCAAGAAGTGTTACTTTAAAACAATATATTGACAGGGACTGGGGAGATGGCTCAGCACTTAAGAGCACTTGCTATTCTTGAAGAGGATTTGGGTTCCGTTCCCACACGGCAACTAACAACCATCCATAACTTCAGTTCCAGGGGATCTGATGCTCTCTTTTGGCCTCTGTGGGCACAACATGCACTTATGTACATGCAGGCAAAACACTCATACATATAAATATAAAATATTTTTTCATTTTATATTATTTTTAGAAGGGGTCTCCTGTATCCCCAAATGGCCTGAAACTCACAGACCAGGCTGGCCTCAATCTCACAGAGATCCATCAGCCTCTGCCTCCCAAGTGCTGGGATTAAAGGTTTATGCTACCACACCTGGTCGTTAGTGGTTTTTAGAGCATGCTTTGAAGCAACTGGTTTGATGTGAACCTCCTCTCCTTCTGTTGAAATCAGAGGAGTATGTGTGTGTGTGTGTGTGTGTGTGTGTGTGTGTGTGTGTGTT